ACAATTACGGCGGTAACGTTGTTAAACCTAGGCTTATTAGTCAACACTTGGAGTGAGAACTTATATTACAATGCAATTCAGATAACAGCAAAAGCCACAGGAGCTAAGGATTGTTAGATTTGTACTGCCTTACCAAAAGGTAACACGAGACTCCCTTTATACAGGGTAGGGTCTACTCATTGGAACTGTGACAATAATACTTGGCCCGAGTTTTGGAAAAGACACGATGGAGGATACTGTGATTATGACAACTCAACCTACATGACAGGGCCAAAATTTGACCTACAGATATTAGATAACAACACCCAGATATTGGTCAGCAATAATAGTTGCCTATGGAAAGCAAGATCCAACACTTGTTCGTGCCAAACCCCCTTCCATACACACAAAAATTGTACTTGCAGGGACGGGTGGAATGATTATTGAATCAACAAAACTACAGTAGAAGTGGGGACTTGGGATTTGAAAGGGACAGGTATGGTATATATTAATTTTTGTAACAGAACCCAATTAGAAATCTATAGCCCCTTGAACTGGGATTATTTTAGGAATGTATCAGTCGGCTGGGTAAACCGCGGAACATTTTATGGAGCTAATCTTACAGCCACTGACGGGCCCTGTAAATTACCCGACGGGTATTCATGGCTATGTGGCGATGGCATTAGCAGAAAGCAACTCCCTGCAGGTTGGAAGGGAATGTGTACCATAGGTCACCTAGTCAGCCAGGACCAAATATAGATCCAGTCCCAAATACCTAAAGGCATATTGAGAACAACATGGAAACGAGCCAAATGGGAAGACAACCCATTTGTAAGTAGGGGAACAAAATTTCATAGCTTTGTCAGATGGTTTTTGCCATGGTTAGGAGTAAGCAAACTAGAAAAAGCCATAGTAAACATTTCCACAGTTTTAGAGAAGATAGAAAATCTAACAATACATACTATGGAAAATTTACAGACAGAAGCATCATCCCTTAGTAAAGTTGTGCTACAGAACCGAATGGCATTAAATTTATTGACCGCAAAAGAAGGGGGAGTGTGTATGATCATTAATACCAGTTGCTGTGCATATATCAATAAAGACAGACAGATAGAAGCAGATCTGAATATGCTCTGGGAGAACACACAAGTGTTCCATAAAGTAGCTTCGGACGATACTTCCTTGGGGTTTTGAGATTTATGGGATAAAGGAACCTCTTGACTCCCTAATTTAGAATGATTAAAACAATTATCGATGGAATTAATCACCCTGATGGTTTTAAGAATACTTGTTTGCATATCTCTCAAATGTTTCCTTTG